CAGGGTTGTACTGAACTTCTCTGTATCAAAGTGATGGTTGGAGGCACAGAACAGAAAGTGCTCTCACAATTTTGCACACAATTGTTGTGCTCGCTCCTGTGATGGACTACAATCTCATGTTTCGGTTACTAATTTGTATTGAGATTGTAGTCCATCACGGGAGCGGGCTTGGAGCGGTGACTACTTAACAACACACACAGGGACCATGGGGAACAAAAGTATCCACCCTCCAGAAGGAAGGACAGTGCCAGCACCAATTCAGAGATGATTGGAGGATATACAGCCGAGTGATACACAAATAAGATACATTTGTGCTAATAGTTAAAGGAGAACTATGAGGTGAATGAAAATCACTCACTTCATAGTTCTAGCCGACGTGTGACAATGAAACTGTCACAGGTCGGCAAAATAGATTGGGAAGTGAGCGAACACATACCGTCGCCCGCTCACTTCTCGATCCCGTCACTGCAGAGAGCCGTGACTGTCACTCCCCCCTCCCCTGTCCAATCCTCCAGCGCTGACTGGTGGAACGGGCAGGTACAGCTGGCTCTGCCTCCTATATAGGCAGAGCCAGCTGTCACTCACGCAGCTGGGTGGCTCCAGACAGTAATGTCAGGACCTGTCCCGGCTGCGGCGTCTCAGTTCAATCTGTCATCAATATAAGTCTAACAAGCTGCTAGTATAGGTGAAATGCACACACCTACAAGAAAACTAGCTGAGGAGGGGCAAAAAACAAAACACTATTGGGTTTGATGGAGCTGACAATCACCTATAAAAAAAAATAAAGCAAAACTAACACTCCTGTGCTTGTGTAAGTTCCACCTGGGTACTACGGTTTCCTCCCATGCTGGTAGGTAATTGGCTCCTGTCTAAATTGGCCCTTGTATGTATGCATGTGAGCTAGGGATCTTACATTGTAAGCTCCTTGAGGGCAGGGACTGATGTGAATGTGCAGTATGTAAAGCGCTGCGGAAATTGTATAAATACTTGTAATAAATAAAATGGTCGGAGAAGAGACCGGTCCTCCAAGCATATTATTTCCCTTATTTCATCTTGGCACCAACTGCCCATCTCCTTGGTTGGGCAGGACCAGTGCTGCTAAGCTACTTCATGTGTTTTTCCAAGTTTTGCCTCTTCCAGCCCATATGCCCATATTCTCCACATCCACCAGCATAGACTCTTGCAGTGTATTTGGGTCAATTCTAAAGCTAGTGTTTTGAAGCATATTTTATACTCCTTGAAGGCCCTTGGTGGTCTTGTGGTTCCAAATATACACAATTATTATGTGGTGGCTACTATTGCTCCTCTTCCCTGCTCTCCATGCATCTTTGGACTTGCCGCTGTGGGCCTCGTTGGATTTTATTGAATGTCATCCAGTCCCTTTGGTTTCCTCCTGGGTTGCATCCTCCCAATCTTAATCCCGTTTTTCAACACATTACGGATATGGGACTCAACTGAATTCTCTGGTGGTTTAGCTTCTCCTTATCTCCCTCTCGTGAAACTTTTACATTCTCCTCCGTTTCCTCCTGGTAGAGACCACCGGCTGCTTTCACCTGGTGGTCCTCCCACAATTATCATGATGTTTACTCTTTGTTGTCCCCATCTGGTATCAAGGATTATCAAAACTTTCAGGAAACACATAATATCCCTCTGCGTGAACATTATAGGTATTTGCAACTCTGTCACTTTCTTGCTTCTCTTTTTGGGTCTCATTCTTCCCCTTATACGCTCACTCCATTTGAACATAGGTGTCGCTCTAATAGGTACAATTTCTCTAATTTATCAATCCTTATCTTTCTCTAACCAGGATTATATCATCAACATTGCGAGCGAGATCTTGGCCTTCCCATTGCAGTAGAGGACTGGCAGGAAATTTGGAAAGTGACTAGAGCTTCATCAACTAATCGACTAAATTGATAATAGTTGGCGACTATTCTCATCATCGATTTGTTGGTTGAGGGGGTGGGGGTACCACCATGTCAGTTTGTTGCATACATATCTCAACAATCCAGTGGAGGCTCTCCTTAACAAGCCAATTTTAGGTATATATGTGCCATATAGTGAAAATACAGTTGTGGATACTAAATGATTAAATGTAAAAATGGATCAATTTGACAATCAACAACATTTAAATAGAAAGAACAATTCTTTTTCTCTTTTCCTATTTCAGCCTTCCTCACTGCTTATTTTTGTGAGGGGAACTTTTGATTACATTTGATATTACCACAAACACACCATTTATTTTACCTCTTTATCTAACTGCATTATTTGGCTGCTTGTTATATATTTGTTCTGCAATGACACTTTTGACTTGCACTTAGGAATGACATGTGTTATTGTAGGTTTCTGTTTGTTCTTATCGTTCTGTTCTATTTGATTATTTTTATTTGGGCTTTACCATAAGGTGGTGCGCTTCCATTTTGGCAATACAATTCTTTGTAAAAGAATATTTAAAGCATCACTAAAGTCATAAAACCAAAAAATCATATCCGGTTCAGCATGCCATTTTAACATTTCTCACCCTGTATCTTTAAATTTGTCCCTGTCCCTTTAGTCCCCACATATACATTTGAATGGATTCAGAAACCACATTCACATACATTTCCTGTATGCATTTGTCCACATCTCATTCTGCCTTCCTAATGTCTCCCATTGCAGCCACACATACAGAAGCACTGTGCTCAGAAACGCTCCACCCCTTCACCCTAATATCCTGCCCACCTCTCTGCTTTTACCAGCCTCTCCTAAAGCCTGGAGCCCAGCTACATGTGAGGTGAGGCAAGACACTGCTACTCAGAAAAGTCAGGGATATGAGGTGTAAGCTCGCAGAACAGTATTGCTGGAACCAGAGGCACAGCCATTTATATCAGAGAAAAATGTAATTGGCTGGCTCCCACTTGCCCAACGAATAAAATTAAAAATACTAACAACAACATACAAAGAAGCCATCTACAACTCCGCCCCAACCTACATCACTGATCTCATCTCAAAATAACACCCAAACCGTCTTCTCCGGACCTCCTGCTCTCTAGCACTCTCATTACCTCCTCCCATGATCGCCTCCAGGACTTCTCCAGAGTGTCCCCCATCCTCTGGAACTCCTTAACCCACTCTGTCCGCCTATCTCCAACGCTGCCCACCTTTAGGCGATCCTTAAAAACCCATCTCTTCAGGTAAGCCATCCTCATCTCAACATAACTGGCTTTTACATCCTCCAATAACTCAATCCAAACAATTATTACCTTTTGTATCACTTGCCCCTCCTACTAGATTGTAAGCTCTCACGAGCAGGGCCCTCCCAACCCTATTGTTCTGAAACTGTATTGTACTGTAAATTGTATTGTAACTGTACAGTCTCCGCTATTTTGTAAAGCGCTGAGCAAATTGTTGGCGCTATACAAATCCTGTATAATAATAATTCACAGTAGAGCATATTGCAGAAGAGTTAGAAGGGTAGAAAATGATGCTGCCCCCTCTTTCATGCAAGGACAACAATCCACTCAGAAAGAGGGTGTCAACCAAAATGTGGGCAGGACTTGCATTGACTACATGTATAATGAAAACTACAGAACCCATGTGAAATCTTTGGCATAGAAAGGCTTTCACACAGGCCCACCCATATCTATGTTGGTGCACAAGTGCCGACGCACAGGGTCAGGGTAAATGGGTCCTATAAAGCCCCATTCTCACTTGTGCATGTCTGCTCGATGCATTTTCAATTAAAAGCAATGAGAAAAAAAAAAGCAATAAAATAAAGCAATAAAATACATGTTAAGTCCACAGCAAGATGCCCTTTTGTGTTTTCAAGTATGTATTAGTCCTAAAGACGCACTAACATGCAGCATGAAGGAAAGAATGGGACGTCTGTATGAAATGCATTTTTATGTTGTAAAATTCATGTGTTTAACGTCAGCAAAACAGACAACTGTGAATAGCCCTGAATGAATGGAATTGTTTTTACAGTAAAAAAAAAGCAGCATTTTTCTGATTCTTAAAAACCCAAACAACTTCCTTGGGATGTTTACTCTTGAAAAGCTTCCCCTCTCTTCATATACACAGCCTTGGACCTACCTCTGCAGCATTCCGCTTCTGCATGCACGCATGTGGCCGAGAGTTGTGTGCACTGTGCAGTAATGTGATGGTAGAAGCTGCAAATCCCAGCCAGTAATGTATCATGGAAATATTTGTGTACATTTGTGAATGCTATAGTGTACATTCATTCTGGAAGGTTCAAAAAGGGAAATAATGATAGGGTATGTTAGTTCTTGGTTCAGTTCCTGCTCAGCTTTCTAAAAAGCCGAACAGAAAGGTCTCCCACCTGAGATCCTAACTCCACTTCTCCTGATTATCTGCTCATGAAGCCTTCACCAGGGGGTAGGTGACCACTTTACCACATGTACAGCCAAGTAGGATATTTTATGGTCGCAGAGGAGAAAAGAGCAGAGCCAGGACTCCATGAAAGATCATCTTCCCAAAGAAATTCTATGCATTAGTTCTGTACAGAATAAGTGCACCAAATGCCTCCCATTTTACCCTCATGTATCATAACAGACAACAGATGAGAGCTGGCTTCTCATCTCTCACCCTATGCTATGTGCTACTTCCGTCTCTCAGCAGCATGCTTGATCTTTTATCATAGGCTTCCAAAAGAGAGCACATCTCCCTGAGGGCCTACTGAAAGGTAAGCTCAGTATTGATAGAGAAACATGCAAGTTCATCAAGATCACGTCTCCAGAGAAAGAGACGCAGCACCCAGAGAGACTTTGACATAAGAGGTCTACCTAAACAGTGAAGGAGCTATGACATGTAGGTCAAATAAAGGACAGTGTTCAGGATGCAGGTAGAAAAGCAGCTTTGGTAAACAATATTCTAAGAGAACATTTCATCAGAATGTTACCCTGTGGAATATTACAGGAACAATCCCGTGTTATGACGTGTCAGATAATGGAGTGACCACAAGGAAGCCAGGGGCCATAATGAACTTACATGGAATGGACATGTGCTGAAGATAAAAACCTTTATTAACCAGAAGACTACTGTCCAGAAATAAATACTGTAATGTGACATGGTCATAAAAGAGGTAATTTAAACTCATTCTGTAAATGTTTGTCTTACAGGAAGACAGTCAAGTGACAAGCAGTAGTAAGGTTATACATGGTAACAGAATGAGCAACGGACCCAGACTTTGATGTAAGAGGATCATGCAGTGCACAGAGAAATTAAGAGTGTGATGGGAGTGATTAGATGGCAATACAATGGGGTATCACACAAAAGATGAATGTTTTATGACAGAAGGGTTTTTTACTGTGCTGTTACAATAAGGAGAGAGATCGCTTAATGCCCTCAAATCAGCTCAGAACCGGACAAAAGTTGCATCAATCTGGCGGACACAGGGCAGCGCCAGCATGATTTTACGCCTGTATTGGTTATCTTTCTGAAGAGGGTTCCTTTCTAGATACACGGTCTGCAAACTCTGGGCACCGCTTAGTTCTTCTAAGTCTGCCCAATTATCCACCAAGTTGTCATTCATCTGTAATAAGAAATAAAAACCAAAAAAAAAAACCAGATGTAATTTTCCAAAAAGAAACAAAAACAACAAGAACAATTTTGGGGCTAATTCAACCATTTTCTACCAGCTTCCAGTCATAAGAACAACCAAACAGATCAGTGCAAACTACCACCATTGGTTTGAATGAAAACCAGGAGATGACATGTTGGTGGTTGATTGATTTTGCAAACAAAAGCTGGCGAAGAACGGTGAAAAATGCCTTGAAAATATTGTAGGAGTAGCACAGATCTAAAGTAAAACACAAATAACAGAACTGATTAGGTACATTTCCCAGCTAACCCATAAATGGCTTTAACGTTTGACAACTCTGGAAGTCAGGCCCCGTTTCATCTGCCCACTGTCACAGATCACCTGTGGTTTTACCATCATGTGTTCTGCTCTTGCTGCATCTAGAGATAACCCCTCAGGAGTGAATGAATGCACATGAATGGTATGACAACGTTGTCAAGTTTTAAAGTGGTGTCGGGATATGGTGCAATATTTACTTGTGCATAAATTATATATGTTCTAATAAATGAAGCTTTTTTCCTACATATGGTCTGAAGTAACGTCTTGGGTCAGCACACTGGACAGCGTTTGCGACCTCCCCTCCCCTTTTTTTCCCCCAGACTAAGATTTTACCATAATGGGAGAACAATTATTCCTCAAGCACGGACAAGGCAGCTTGATAATGCAACCCACAGAACACAGAAGACCTACACATGCAAATCAAACCCAAGACATGGTCATTTGTCTAATACAAATTGCCATTACACTGCTAGCTACAAATAATACAAAATTACAAGAAGTTATTGGAAAACAGTGTTTGTCATTAAAAGGAAGAACCTACCCAGAATTCCTGGAGCTCTGTCAAGTGTTTAATATTTTCAATTCTCTTGATTCTGTTAGTAGCAACATCCAAAGTTGTGAGCTTTGTCTAAAGAGAAGAGAAGAATATGTTAAGTCCTAACTGTGCCCAATGCATACATAAAATCATCAGTGACCATGTGACAAGCTTCCAGCCAATATCCTACACCCCAGTGCCTGTCCAGAAGCTTACATTGTTCTCCAGACCCTCCAAAACTTGGATGCCATTGTCACTTAGGTAGAGCTCCCGTAGATTCACAAGACTCTGTAGGCCTTCAATCTTTGTAAGACGATTACTCTGAGAGGAAGAGAATGACAGAAGAATAGTTACATACTGCGGTGAGTTCAATCATTTACTTTAATGTCATCTTTCCACCCATGATCATTTGTCCTTTTGGTCTTTACATGGCATTGTCTGCTTTTGATTCAAGAAGAACGGTGATTGACGGCGAGTGACGCTGCAGCCTATAAAGAAATGGCAATGTGATAGGTTATCTTTATGAAACATATTCCTGTTCTTAAGGCCTGGCACTGTGCTTTTACAAGCTTTTTTATTCTATGAACAGGCAGGGCCAGCCACAAGTAAAGGGGAACGTTGTGCATTGGCCTGAAGGAGCTGGTCAATGTCTAGATTGTTCACACAACCTCAGCAGGATGTTTTCCGAGCCAAAGACTGGAGGAAGTATGGATGGAAACAGTCTTAAGTAAGGGTAACCCCATTATTGACATTTCTATTTAGGTTGCAGGGACCAGTACAAAAAAAAAACAACAAAAAAACAAAAAACAAAAACAAAAAAGAAGGGTACAATTTACAGTAAAATGCAGTTATACTTTAAGGACTAAAATCTCAGAGTAACACAGGTGATGCCCCTTCTCTTCTCCTATGCAACATTGCAATCGGGGATCTGCTGTGTCTGGAAGGTGGAAAGCCCCATAAATTGACTGTCACCTTTAAAAAGTAAAGTGATCCTTGCAAAAAGGGCTCGGGCCATCCGAATAATCTTCACATCTGACTTACTTCTGGGTGTGTCGGTTGTTTGATCCCCTGCCACCTGTAGTTCCATCAGCCAACCCTTACATCACTACAGGACACAGTACAAATGTAGGGGATGCTGGATGAAAGCAAAAAGTGTGTGGGAACACACAAAACGCGCAGCCGTCAGACACTCCTGAGGTGTCGGATGTGAGGACTCTTTTGGCAGCGGTAGCCCTTAAACAAAGTAAACATAATGGGGCAGCACAGCGGCGTTGTGGGTAGCGATTCTGCCTTACAGCACTCAGGGTCCCCAGTTGGTCAGGACACTATCTACAAGGAGTTTGCATGTTCGCCCTTTGCTTGCGTTTCCTCCGGGTACTCCGGTTTCCTCCCACACTCTAAAGACATGCTGGTAGCTTAAATTGGCTCCTCTCCAAATTGTCCCTGGTCTACCTATGATGCCAATTACAGGCCTCTCTCATCTTTTTAAGTGGGAGAACTTGCACAATTGGTGGCTGAGTAAATACTTTTTTGCCCCACTGTATGTGAGATAGGGACCTTAGATTGTAAGCTCCTTGAGGGCAGGAACTGATGTGAATGTGCAACTATGTAAAGCGCTGCGTAAATTGTCGGCGCTATATAAATACCTGTAATAATAATAATTATTATTCTAGGAATGGGTCGGCTGGAACTTGTTATTTTATATATAAAAAGAGTCTCTTTAAAATGATCAGCCAGATCCAACGCGATAGAACTGTGATGCATCAATTGTATGTTTAGTGAAATTCAAATGTTCACAAAAATTCAGATAAACTATCCTGATATTTTCTTCGCTTTCCTTTTTTTTTTTTTTTAATAGGCATGCTTGTTCCACAGAGAGTCATGTTAAGTCTATGTAGGTTTGGCTAAACCAAGAAACAATATATGCATAAAGTAATAATAGAAATCTGTAGGACAGTACAAAATTATTTACCTGTACGCTCAGTACGGTGAGGTTAGACAGAGCTTCCATGTTCTGCAATTTGGTGATTTTGTTTTTACCAAGAAAAAGGCTGTCAAGGTCTTTTAATGTATCCAGATTCTCAATCTCCTACAAACAAAAGAGAACAAAATTGGTTCACTTGCCCCATTAGCTTTAATATTTTTCAAGTCACTGATCTGAAAAAAATAATGAATACTAACAGGAACCCACAGACATTTGACACCAATTGTCAGATCCATGCAATTCTATCCTGTGGGATACCACATATAATCTTGGTACACCTTAGAACATCCAAGTTGGGAAAAAGATTAGACATAGTGGGAGGTTACCCCACCTCCTCCTGGTCAGGAAAGTGACGCCAGTGACCCAGTGTATTATTTTAGGATATCTGTGTACATCAAGCACAGAAAGTGCAGACATTTTGGAGATCAAACTGTTACTTAAAAGTGTATCTAAAGCCAAAACCAGTTTAATTTTGGACAGAGTGGTGAGAACCCCTATCCGTTTTTTTTTGTTTGTTTTTTTAGTTACGTCTGTGTCCCCTTTAGGAAGGTTCACACTCTGACATTTTTCTAATGACTATTGTCACTATGACGCCCAACATAGTGTGCCCCAGATCACAGACAGGATGGCACTGCTCTCTCCCAGTAGTAGTTTTTTAGCCAAGTAAAACTGTCATAGTGAATTATAATTAGATTTTTTTTAAAACAAACGCAGACAGACACAAAGTAACAAATCTCTATCATTTCTAGCAATCCACTCACCCGGATACGGTTTGAGCCCAGCTCTAGCAAACGGAGCTGTGTCAAACTGCTGAGATTCTCAATGCGGCTGAGCTTGTTATTCACCAAATAGAGACGATGCAACTGAGTCAATGACTCCAGACCTTCAATATGTTTTAGAAGGTTGAAGGAAAGGTCCAGAATTCTGCAAGGAGAAGAATTTGTCACATCATATATAGTTGTGCTGTAGTAGATGGTGATATCGGACAAAATACAGTCTATGCGTACGCAGTCCATACAAGTATGTCACAAATCTTCTCTTTTCAATCCCAGCACTACAAATTGAGAACAGGGTGGTATAGAACGACATCCACAACAAGCAAAGAGACCAAGAAGCATGGACGAAAGGTTCGGAACAAAACAGAGGTCAGTATATCAGGGTGAAAATTGATACTAGTGTCATACAAATTTCAACTAAAGCCCATCTCCGGGCAAACAAAAACGTGCTTGTTTTTTTTTACTAGGGGTCGGAGTAAAGCAGATTTACGTACCTGATCACCTCTCACGTTGGCTCCCTCAGCCTCTTTTCCTCTTTGCTCCGACAGTCAAAGGACCACTGAGGTCATCACGTGTAATGCAGGTTTCATTGACCAGCATTAGACGGAAGGACGTCAAGGGACAGTCTACCAGCCGAAGCAGAGGGGAAAGAAGTAAATATCTTTACACCTGTTCAACAAAAAGGAGCACTTAACCCTTGCAATGTCGGGGTAGCCCCACTGCAAGGGTACTTTTTTGTTTGCCCAGTGATGAGCTTTAAGTAAATACATGGAAGCTTTGAGTTACATGATGCCAACATATCAGGTCCACCTCACCACGTTCTTACTTGAAGCCAAAGAGTGGAGATCCTATGTAAACTAGTGTCGTTTTTTTTTTTTAGCTGGTAAAAGGGACAACTGGAGGTAGCAATGTAATCTGCTGTCCATCTGTTCTTCTATATCAATGTGACTGATTTGATCAAGGGTGTGGTAATTGCTTCCTGGGTTCCTAAAGCACTGATAAGGTCTGTCAGCTGCTGATCAGCATTGATGGTGTATACTACAGGCAGAAATGTAAGTCAATGCTAATGAAACAATAAAAATGTAATATTACTGGGCACTGGTTCAATCCACAATAGAAAGAGGAAATCATTGCGCTAAAAGGAAAGAAGAGACTACCCTGGCAGAATAGACTCACTGGAGTTGACTTAGGTTCTCCAGGTTCTGGATAATACGGATTTGATTGTCATACAGGTCCAATTCATTCAATGTCACCAACTGTTCCAAGTCCTCAATCACCTTTATAAGGTTTTGGCGCAGGCAGAGGGTCTACAGGGTCAATGAGAGAGGGGAGGTTAGAGGACAGGAAGTGATGGTCATATCTAAAGAACAGAAGGGGGAGACAATTCATGGAAGCAGAGAGGAAAAACATGCACTTTAAAAAGGAAGCTGGGACTGAGGTATCCAAACACCATAAATGAGAACGGTCAGATGTGAAGAGAGAAGGACACAAACTACATGATGAACCCAACAATTACGGTTGTACTAACAAAATGGACATTTTAAGGGGTCTATTAATAAACAATTTGCAGAGCCACTGACCCCTCAATTCTCTGTGAATGTTCATTCTATGCAAATGGTTGCACAAAATGGAACGCTCCGGTTATATTTTCTTAATAAGTTGCATGCATTTTCCAATGTCATCTTGTAATACCGCAATATGGCCACTAAATAGAGCTGAGGAATAGAGGTGCACCGAAATAAAAATTTCAAAACCGAAATAAAAATAAAATTTAAAAAATGTCCGGCCGAAACCGAAAAAGAGATTGAGGACACAGAGTCCTCAACCTCTTTTTCTGCAGACCCTTTTATAAATGAACAGGAATCCTCTGAGTGTTCCTGTTCATTGATAACATGAGGACATGGTATGTTTAGTATAACTACAACTATGAATGAACAGGAGGTGATGTAGATCACTTCCCATTCATTCATAATTGAGGATATAGTAACCATACCATGGCCTCAATTATCTACAGACACTCAGCGATCACTGACTGCTTGTACCCGCTCTCCTCTCTGACACGCTGTCACAGGAGGCTGAGCGAGCGGTGCAGGGAGGAGAGGTCAGCCTCCTGTGACAGCGCGTTCTGTCTCCGTCCACACACCGCCCTGCCGGACTGTGAGAGGAGGCTGAACGGTGTGGGAGGAGAGACGCTTGCCGCTCACAGCGCTCTCCTCCCGCAGCGCTCGGCCGCTGTCACAGTTTCTATCCTCCCCGCTTGGACACAGAGCAGTGCCCAGCGGGGAGGAAAGAAAGCACGGATGTGCCACTGTATCGGCAGAAAAATGGCACTTTCGGCATTTAGCCAAAAGTGCCATTTTCGGCCGATATGTTTTTCGGCGGCCGATATATAGGTGCATCCCTACTGAGGAGCTAAATACTTATTTCCCATGCATCTCAGCTCCATCTTGTGGCCATAATGCAGTATTACAAGGTGACATTCATGAATACATTTCAAATATAAAGAAAAAAATAACAAGAACATTAGTTTTGTGTATCTATGCGCACAGAACAAACAAACAGCCACAGATTTGCAGGGTCAATGGTTCTGCGATTTGTTTATAGACCCCCAATCTTACAAAGAAATTATGAAACCTACCTTTACTTTTCGGAGCACCTCAAATCCCTGAATCTTTCCTATTCGCATGTGGTTTAGGTCAACATCCTACAGGGACAAATGAAGGGTTAATACAACAGTGAATTGGATAGAAAATTGCATATTGTATTCCAGGCAAACATTTAAAAGAAAAATTCCACTTTCATTACCTAAAACTAATATAGAGTATAAAATTGCCATTTTTGTAATGAAATTAGAGCTGCAACAGTTAATCGATTTAGTCGATTAAAATCGACGATTGAAAACGTTACCAACGTTTTCGATCGTCGATTCGTCGGCAATCGATTGATTTCCTTGTTCGGGGCTCTACACGCGGCCTGAAGCACACGCTGCTCACGTCCCGCTGCGCCCGCTGTGCCCACAGGACGCATAAGCCAATGGTGGAATAGGTGTACGGAGCTGCAGTGTGGACCAGGTGTGTGGGGGTGCAGTGTGGACCAGGTGTGTGGGGGTGCTGTGGTGGAACAGGTGTGCAGTGTGGAACAGCTGTGTGGAGAGGCAGTGGTGGATTAGGTGTATGGGGGTGCAGTGTGGA